CCCAGCATTTCAATACCCTCTCTATACTGCGAAATCAGTAATCTCGACACAAATTGGAGCGGTTTTTGATAAAATGTTTCACTGCATTATATTCAGCCAGAAATTACCCCCAAACAACTCAGTTTAAAAAACAACAACAAATGAACAACAGCAACTTGGCATGACCCTTTGTAAAGAACATATTTTTTTTCAGTCAAAATTCTCTATCTTCAGTATTGTAGTTTTGGAATGTTAAATGTTTGCAATTTATTGCAATATTCGAAAAGAGAGAGAGAGAGAGAGGGAGGGAGAGAGAGAGGGAGAGAGAGAGAGGGAGAGAGAGAGAGGGAGAGAGAGAGAGGGAGAGAGAGGGAGAGAGAGAGGGAGAGAGAGAGAGAGAGAGAGCAGAAAATGGGGACTATTATCACTTTTTACCGGCCTATGAATACATGCGAAGACTAAATTTAAAGAACAATTGCAGCCATTTTTGAGATAACAGCTGTTTCAAACTCGCCTATATTTCACGTATAATAACACGAAAACAACTCGTATATTCGAATAATTGTACCTGGCCTTCTTTCATGATTTGTCTTTGAAGGACAGATTTCATTAAAGAGAATAATATATATTCTCACTATTGTAATTGTAAGAAGACACCCAAAAAATATTTTCAACTTTCGAAACGATAAAAAAACGAATTTCAATGAAAATGAGACCTCTGACATTCGTTTAAACGTCTTTTACGCTATTGAAGGACAATGTATTTTTTTAATTGGGCCATTTTTGAGAAAATTTTGAAAATGTTGAGATTTTATGTAAATTACCCCCCAAAAATTAAAATACCATCTTCAAGCTTAAAGGTACACGGATTCCTGTAAATCTGGAGTGTCCAACTTGCAAGAGCTCAATGGCCATACCTAAAACCATTAATATGGTTGCGGGCCATATTTTTTTTTAATCGGGTGATCCAGACCTGACTTCCCCGTATTGCAAGTACATACCCTGTGTGCACGATCACTAGAAGAGTATACATGTGTATGTGTGTGTGTGGGGGGGTGCGCGCGCGCGTGAGTGAGCATGTGCGATTGTGTGTGAATATATTTCTTATAGAAATAAAAAAAAGGAGTCGAGTTGTGTAAATTGGGTGCTTTTTTATTTCTACCTTAAGAGCTTATTGTCGAAGGTCGACGTTTCCTTCCCTAATATATATATATATATATATATA